CAAAGTTATTGCTTGATTTATTGCCAAGTTGTTGTTTCATTTATGGTAGCCTGAGTAGTTGAATGTTATGGAAACCCTATTGTGGCATAATCGGGTGCATGATTCTGGGAAATTTTGAATTACGGGATGTTTTGTAAGCGATTTTGTGGTGTGTGTTAAAACTGTTTAGATGGATTTGAATGGGTTTGTAGGAAGAAAGGTTCAGATGGTCACTATGTGAAGCGTTCGATCAGAAAGAGTATCTGGTTTGAAAAAAGTCATTTGAGTATGATTGATATTTTGATTTTTACGTGGCTCTGGATGTACGAAGCGAACTCGAAAATCATGGTAAGTGAATATTTGCTTTTGGTAGTGCTTAAATGTATAACATGCTTTTCCTTTTTTATGTTATTTTATTGTTTGGTTTAAAATGTATTTTTTGTTTGCCTATATTGTAGACTTTGGTGCTCCTTTGACTTTTTAAGTGAAAATATATTGATGTGTACATGGACAAAGTAAAGGGAGTGCGCAATGCAAGTTTGTGCAATTCCGGGATTTTTTTTTAAATGAAAATAGGTCGACGTGTACATGGATGAAGTTAAAAGAGTGCACAATGCCATTTTTGTGCAATTAGGGGATTTTTTTTCAAGTGAAAATAGGTCGACATGCACATGGATAAAGTCAAAGGAGTGTGCAATGCCATTTTTGTGCAATTCGGGGGGGGGGGGGGGGTTAAGTGAAAATAAGTCGATGTGTACATGGATATCGAGTTTGTGCAATTGTTTGTCTTGTTATTTTGGCTCAAAAATCGGCGCTTCGCAAGCCAAAATAATGAGTCAAAGCATTGCACAAAATCGGTATCCATGTACCGCCAAGGGATACCCTAAACTATACTTTTACCGAAAGATTAAAAAAAATATAGAACAAATAATTTGGAGTACAGCCAGCAAAATTATGCCTAATTTTTTTTTCCAAATAAAATTTTGGCTTTAGTGTTGTAGAATTGGGTGCCCCTTCGATTGGCGACATTTTTTAAAAAATTTTGCCGATAAAACCTCACTTCTGGTTACCACGATAGTTTAAACGTCGTTTTAGCTTCCCGATTTTATTTAAATGAAAACAGATTGATGTGTACTTGGACATATTTAAGGCAGTGCGCAATGCCTAGTTTGTGCAATCCTAGGATTTTTTTAAAGTAAAAACAGATCGATGTGTACATGGACACAGATCTTATGCAATTCTACGACTTCTTATTTTGGTTTTGTGTAGCGGCCATCTTGAAATTGTGACTTCCTGGCACCAATCTTGGCGTCATAAAAGAATCAATAAACAAGGGGCACCCATTTGTAAATTTTTACCAAAATTTTTTATATCATTAAAAAAATAGAGAAAATTACTTGAAAAAAAGTGGATTTTAATAACACATAATAAATTAAAATTCTGTGTCTCCTTGTGATATGCTGCTATCTACTGTTTAAAAAGAAAAGTTCAAAGTATATTATAAAAGCATTTTTACCTATTTAGGTTAAATTTAAAGGTTTCAGAAGCAATTCAATTTGGATGTTTCATGTAGTGGAACACTGAGCGGTTGATCTTTACATTATGGTAACTTGGCGATTTTTGGCGAAAATTTGGCGACCAACTCTCCTACAGCAACCCTCTATTTTTTTTTTCCCGCCGCCATTTTGTCTTCACGAAGTAAAGACATGTTTCTTTTCTTTTTATCTACTGAACACTTCTTCCAACATTCTACTAGCCGAATTACACTTATGCTAGAAATTTTATCTAACAAAACTGCTTAATCATGACAAATATTCACTGCAAAATTGGGGAAAAAAACACAATACCATACTCCTTACGCGTTCTTCAAAATAACACATACACATAAACCATGTACACGTCGACTTATTTTTACTTAAAAAAAACATCCCAGAATTACACAAAAATGGCATTGCGCACACTCTTCATTATATCCATGTACACTGCTTTTTTCTCATAAATTAGAAAAATTTCACGAAAATACATGACAATTTTCTGAATCTTTAAAACCCGGTAAAAAGAACATATATGAAATTACCTGATCGCGAAAAAGTATATACCCTTTCCAAATATGAACATTTCCACATATAAAATAAATAAAATATCCAAAAATTTTATCTCTAAATCATCTATTATATTATAAACGTCACCAATGAATTCATACCGCAAGCATTACAAATACTTAGTGTCAAATATTTAAATTATTTCCATGCACGTTTACTTCAACTAAACGTATAACCAAATTCCTACAAACATAAAATTCACAAAGTAACTATCATTTAATTTTAAATATCACTAAACCATGTACACGTCGACTTATTTTTACTTAAAAAAAAAATCCCAGAATTGCACAAAAATGGCATTGTGCACACTCTTCACCATATCCATGTACACTCCTTTTTTCTTATAAATTAGAAAAATTTCACGAAAATGCATGACAATTTTCTGAATCTTTAAACCCGTTAAAAAGAACATATATGAAATTACCTAATAACGAAAAAAGTATATACCCTTTCCAAATATGAACATTTCCACGTATAAAATAAATAAAATATCCAAAAACTTTTACCTTTAAATTAACTATTATATTATAAACGTCACCAACGAATTCATACCGCAAACATTACAAATACTTAGTGTCAAATATTTAAATTATTTCCATGCACATTTACTTCAACTAAAACGTATACCAAATTCCTACAAACATAAAATTCACAAAATAACTATCATTTAATTAAAATACAATTAAATTCAAAAACCCTACTTAAAATATAAATAAGCACATACATTAAATTAATAACAATTAGCTTACAATCCTAATTACTTTAAACTAAATCATTGCTAATAACAATTTTCCCAATAATACCAAATTACTTTACTTCCACCTTACATTTAGAACAATGCATAAAAATAACATCCTCAAATAATTAAAAATACTAACTTACCTAATCTTCTTCAGAATCTTGATTACGTGTCCGATAAACTTTTCTTATTTCTGTTTCAGGATCTTTAAAATCATACTTATAGTTCACAGCAAGGTACCAGGTAATAAAATAAATAACATAATAAAACATCTTTACTTCTATCTCGCACAACCTTAAAGAAACACTTATTACTACCCCTTTCAATCCCACTAAATACCCATTTTGAATTCACTTTAGTTAGGGCCATGGCATCCAAAAATTTATGAACACTGTTTCACACAACACAGAATAAAGCCAAATACAAAATTTCCAGATTTTTTCCCGATTTCCCCCCTTTTCCGATTAAAGAACCGTAATTCGTCCATTAATATCACATGATCTCTCATTTCCCTCACACAAAATAATGCGTAATCGGAACTGAGTACTGCTCACAAGTCCCAGGTAGTAACCTTTATCGCCTCCAAAATGTCGCCAAACTACCAGTTACCATATTCTAAAGATCAGCCCACTGAGCCACAAAGGGATTGCTTTATTTTAAATCCTAGCAGCCTTAACATCCAAAAAAAAAAAAAAAAAAAGTACTGTGTGAAACGTGAGGATTTTTTATGAAATATGAAATTTCTACAACAAATAGTTAGTTTACTAACCAAATATTTATGTACTACTAAAAGTTAACAACACAAACTGGAAGCATAGTTGAAATATTAAGGGAAGGAAATAAATCATTTTTACAGCCATTCTAACACTTTGAAAGAGAAGAAAAAAAGGTGCTTAACATATTAATGCCACAGCAACTGTGCTAATGCACCAATAAAGAGTAATCCTGTTGTTCAGACGAATTGTGTATTCGGATATGTAAGTACAATATATTCGGATATGTAAGTATAATATATTGGATTCCTTTTTGCCTTGTTGTTTGCTGATTTTTGACGCCATTTTTTTGTGCTACGAAATGTGTCTTTGGTATTTGCCAAACACAGAAGAAGATGCAATTTTATTTTTTCAGGAGCGAAATATTTTACAAAAAAAATTAAAATGTACCAATTTGCATGATATGAAACTTTATTTTGGTAAATGGGGGGACAGCAAGACATCATTTAGAATCTTATTTAGCAGGGTTCATATGGTGACAGCATCAGGTCAAAGAAAATAAAGTGCTTTGAATCTATGTTAAACTCTATATCCACCCATTTTCCACCAAAATCTGATTGACTACTTTGATTTTAAATGAAGTGTTTGATTTTAAATAAAGTCTTTTAATTTACGATTTGTCGCAAAAATTTTAGGTGTAGATTGGTGGCACTTAAAAACCGCCAAATCTGCAGCTGCAGTGGCATTAATACATAAGTATCAGAAAAAATTAAGCAGATAGCTGTTTAAGCAATTAAAACAATAAAATTACTTTATTTCACTAAATATATGAATCTAAGCATTAAAAAATTCAACAATTTATTTTCCTAAACATTTTTTTTTTTTTTTTTTCAAGTTAAGTAATGAATTTACCATGTGTCTAAATACTTTACTATTTAGCTTTAAATTCTGCAAATAAATTTATGAAGCTAATCCCGGCGTTTACTAAATCATCGCGTATACGTCTTTGCTAAAAAAATCATAACTCTTAAAAGCAAAGATATTAATATAAATACCACAAACACGAAAAATGATCCAAAATCATCAAAATAGATATCAGCCTAATATACATGTAATACACGCACAATTCGAAGTTATGCTTTCAATATTGTCAGGAATAAAATTATAGTAAATGAATAAAAATTTTCTACACGAAGATAAAATTAAACATTTAATATTAATCGAGTAAATCTCTTCAAATTGTGAGTATATGCATTTAATACCAGAACGCAATAACTGTTTAACGTTACTATGGCATTTTTGTAAACGCCCTTTGTTTACACAAATGACACAACTAAGTTAGTTCACAGCACAGCATAAAAAACCAGAACTCAATAAACGAAACGCGATATGTAGATGATATGGATAATTTAAAATCTTTCCTCGAGAAAATAAACACATAAATTTATGCAAACAAATTTTGCTTACATGAATATTTTAGGCCATGGAGCTTTCATTGTGAAATTACATCTAAATGTTTTCCATAGAACTTCTAACATATTGTTATGTTATTCTAATATTTTAACATGTAGTCAAATGAAAGGTGGTATATCAATCATCACTTATAAGTGAGATAAACACCTGCACACAATACAATAACATATCGCCGTTATTCACGACGGAACAACATAAAGACATCTGTCCGTAATCACGCAGAGATAAATTGCTACTTCTTCTGATGAATGTGGTCAATGGATATGGCATGACTACTACATTTGTATAAATATATATGTTATAAGTAAAGATTAGTAGATTAATTCAGTTGGCTATCAAGTGCCAGTAAAATTTTTAAAAAACATTTTCCACGAATTTACTACTGCGAGTTAAAGAAACTAACACAAAATAAAGAAAGCAACTAACAGTAAGCAATGAAACATCTCAACTCTTCGTTTTAAATGTCTTTCAGTTGTTTGCTGCTGATCATGTAATTACGGAAACTAGTAAATATAAGTTCTGCTGATTCTCAATTTCTTCTTCTCTCTCACGAAACTAATTTTTAGTCCTATGAATGGATTTTTTTCTGAAGATATATACTCGTCTTCTTTAACTGTATCTAATGATTTCTGTATTCTTGTTTTCTCACATAATAAATATTTTAACATAGTAATGCATATATGTCCCATGTAATTTACTGAACAAAATGAGCATAGCAATGAGAAATCATACGGAAGGTTTTCCTAATAATGGTAAGTATTATTATATTTTTTTGTCAAATCTATGCTGAAGCTCAGCGAACTTCATTATTTGTTTTGAAGCGATGTATTGCTTAATTTTTAATTTTAGGCCCATAGTATGAGTAATTTTTATTTTCCTGCACATTTTGTGCCTGTTCCATCATAATTTGTTTATATTAAAATTAATTACCGAATGAAATTTTCTGACTTTGGTAATTATGGGTAGGCGTATGTGTAAGGTAATTTTTTAATAAAATTCACCCAATAATTTCTGGTTTAAGATTGCCTACAGAGGTTTCTTAAAAGTGATTATCAAAAACTGAATGAAAATTTTGATATGTTTTGGTTCACGAGGAAGAGATTCTTTATCAATTCAGAGAGTTTTATGACTATCAATGTTATTAAATAGTATAGTTATCTCTAAACTTGAAGATTTTTATATTTATAATTAAATTATTAATTATCGCCATTAAAATCGTTATTTTGAAAATTTTCCTGTAATAAAATTTTGTAACTATCAAATAGAAGAGAAAAACGCCAGTTTAAAAATTGGCAAAAAGGGCAGCTTAGTGTAGATTTTGAATTTGAAGCAATTTTTTGTTTGCTCTTGGAGGAAGCAAGGGACATGTATCTGATTGTCCTCAAAACCAACCAAGTTTCTTAAAGTCTGCCCCAAATTAAGTTGCACTTTTGCTTAATTATAGGTAATTTAGATTATTTGAATGTGGCAAAGCACATGAGGGCCATCTGCCTTAATTTAACATAAAAATGATCAATATATTAAAAAAAATTATGATTTTAAAGGATAAGTTTTCTAACTTAAATTGACTATAAGTTAATCTATCAACTATAAAAGTAAAATCTTATATGCTTTAATCAGCTTTTTTTTTTTCTATGGGTGCAGGGGGGGGCGAATTGTTAATTTGTAATCATTTTTAAAGAGAATGAAGATCCATTTCCAAATTAACTTTTATCATTATCTTGAAATAAAAGTTGTTCTATACATTTATAGTAATTTAAAATGAAAATTACACAGCAATCAACATTGCTTGTATACATATAATAAATACATCCATTCATATATACTTTTTAATCAACAAGGTAATTCTTTTACCCGTTTCCTAAAAACAGAGTATACTACACAGTTTTGCTTTTCAATATTCAGGAGGGGGGGGAAGAGAGAGCAAAATTACCCAAGAAAATGTACTTATCTTAGTGTTTCTAATCTTATTCTGTTAATTAAATGAAATTTCTGAAATGATAAGCATACTATTATTGTTTAAATATTAAGCTATTATAATTACTGCTACTTTCTTTTTAAAGTGGCTGTTGCATACACTCTGGTGAAATACAGCAACATTTAAAATTAATCTGGCAAAAATTAGAAAATGCTGTATCAGTCTTCAAAATATAAAAAACCATAATGCATGTGGGAGGGAATGACATTTGTCTATCTTTATCAAGGCCATAATTTTGCATTTCCTATTGTCATGTAATCAAATATTTTCTCTGGACATTCATATTGTAACCACATAAATTCTTTTAAATATAAATCCAATGTTGATGAAAAAGTGGGGACCCTTTCCCCCCCCCCCACTTGGTTGTATTCCAGAATCATTCACGTTTTACCAAAATCTGGATCCACAGAGTTGGATACTTGCCAGCAATCCGAATATATTGTACTTATATATCCGAATACATGTACATGTTCTTTTGTAATCTTCATTAAGAGTTTTGGTGCCTCTCTTCAGTATTTGCATAAGGAACAGTCGTTTATTTTCTTGCAAATAACAACCAGAACCTATTGCTTTGGCAAAATTTTTTTTCTGCTTGACCAATAGACTTTCATCACTCCCAGTCATATTTTTCAGGTGTACGAATTTTACCTTTCAAAGTTTTGATCAAAAACAAACAAACTCCTGTCATATAATTGTTCTTATCAATTGCTCTGTTTTCACCCATATATAACTCTCTATTGCAATATCTGATAGAAGTTAGCTCTTCAGCATGACATTATGAAAAGTGGTAAGAAAAAGAATCTTTGAATCATAAAATGAATAATCAGGACAACAAACATGATTTTTTTTTCACTGCAGTTTTTTACATTGCATCTCTAAGTACTTTTTCTTAATAAATAATTTTATTTGAAGGTAATTTTTGCACTTTCATGCAATATGCTTTTTTTTTTTTTTTTTTTTTTTACTTCTGCCCCCTTGAAAAAAAACACCAGTTTCTTTTTCAACCCCCTTCCCCAGATGATGTAAAGTTAAATATGGATAACATTTTAGAAGAGGGAAAATAATGAAGATTGCAAAAGAATGAATGATGTCAGAGAAAAAACTTCTAGTGTTTATTTTCCAATTGGTGGAAAGTTAAAAGTGATTAACATTAAAAAAAAATAATTAATGAAAGAGCGATATCATGCAGTGTAAAGTAAGTATGAAAAATCAAATATGTTGCATATTATAAATGTAACAAAATGGTGATCGTTTTAGAAGAAAAAAGAAATACTGAATCGATGATACCACCATTGTAATCAAAATAGTCTGAAAATTAAATTCATTGCAGGTTAGTAATCTGGGAATTAAATTTTCCAAGTCTGTCTAATAATCGATTTTTGATAAATGACCACAGTGATCACTTTAATGAGGACGTATCTAGCTTTAAGTAATAGTAGTTATTTCTTCTATTAACAAAAGCTCTAAAATTCAATAAGATTTCTGCATTACAGATTATGTCCTTATCATTAATGCAGTTGCATTCAGTGAATTTGTGTGCTAGTCATCAACTACTTTGCTGTTGGGCAATAGAAATTTATCTATAAAATAATTAGGATCAATAAGCTTAATTTTTCATTTTCTGAAATGGAGAAATTTTTCAGATAAGAATAGGTTCACACATATTTTAAATAAATATATTGTGGTGGATAATTCTCAAATTTCAATACAGTCAACTAATGCATTTAAAATGCTTTAACTGTGATGCTCTTGCTTCTTAAGTAAGTATGGTGTAGGCATTCATGGCTTTGATTTAGGAAATCCATTTTTCACTGCATCCCCCAGCATTTTTTTTTTTTTTTTTTTTTTTTTTTTTTTTTTTTTTTTTGTAAAAAGACTTCTCTCAATTTAGCTCACATTCATATCATGTTGCTGTATATACTACAAGTATTTGGCATTTAGTGAAGAAAACAAAGCTTCTGAATATCTTTAATTAATTTTTTGCACTATTTACTAATAGTTATTGATTATGAGAGTATGGCTTTTATATAGTTAACAAAATCATTGTTTATCCTTAATAAATAGTTGAATTGCTATTTCTTCAACCCTTGTATATCTACCCTGAAGTGGCACTGAATTAGGGATAGACAGGGCTATGCAAATTTTGTAATGCTCTGCCACATTTATGCTCATGTGAGGGCTTTGATAACAGCTTAATTAGCTAGAACTATGACTGTTGTTAATTAGTCATTATAGTTGCCAGCATGTGTAAAACATCTGATTTAGATACCTTCAATAGCGGACAGATAGTAGGTGCTTGGCGCATGGGCCGTTCAATTTCCAAAATCGTCAGAGAGCTAGGATTTTTAAGGTCAACAGTGTCAAGAGTGTAACGAGAATACACTGATGATGGGTAAAACTAGCGATGGGACAAATTGCAAGGAATAATTAGTCTTGAACAAGCATGGTGGGAGAAGGTTCAGCTGTACTGTACACCGCCAGCAAAACCAAACATTAGCTCAAATTACCACCCAGCTGAATCAGGATGACAGTCGTATAGTCAATGAACTGATCATGCAACGCTCGCTTCACCATATGGGCTTCGGAAGCCATAGAATGTCATTGCTGAATGCATGTGATCAAGCTGCACTTCATGCCTGTGCAAGAGAACACAGAGAATAACTTCTAAAAGGTTAGAAACGAGTAGCATGGAGTCATGAATCTCGAATCCAACTACTTAATACTGACAGGAGGCAAAGAATTGGATGTCAGGCTCATAAAGCATTGGATCCTGCACACCAGGTTAAAACTGTACAAGGCAATGTCAGCTCAGTCATAGTCTGGGGGGTTTCCTCTCAGCAGTTCTTGGAATCTTTGGTACTTGTACCAACCTCCCTCGGCACGTGGAGTTGCTGGGCAATCATCTCCATTCACTTACGTCGTCCTGTCATTCATATGAATATGGAGCATTCTAGCAAGATAACTGCACCTGTCACAGGTCCCAGTTGGCTACTGCCTGGTTGGATGACCATTCCTCTGATTTCTCTGTCGTGAATTAGCTATCTAGAAGTCCTGACTTAAAGCCTATTGAGCACCTTCCAGATGTTTTGGAGAAAGGTGTGAAACCACATCACCGAACACTAATTACCATTCCTGAATAATAGATAGCTCTAGCAGATATTTGGCAAGCCATTTCACAGAATGCTTCTGCAAACTTATTGAATCTATGCCTCATCATATGCAGCCATTATCAATGCCAGAGAAGGCCCAACTCGTTATAGACTTGCTATCCCTAATTCAGTGATACT